AGTTTAAAAGTCCAAAAGGTATTTTATCTGAAAATTTGAAAATATCGCTATATATAATACGCTATATTTTGATCTGAAACAGGCAGAAAAGTAACATTTTGTTATAAAAACATTTTTTTTTAAAAACAAAATTTAAAAAAAATACATTTTTTTAATTTAAATAAAAAAATTCAAAAAATGTTTTTTTTCTCAAAATGCTTAAAAAAAATATTTTTCCTAAAAATGTTACAAATGTTTTTTTTCAAAACAATACATTTTTTTAAAAAAATTCAAAAATGTGTCTGTAAAAATGTTTTAAAAAAACTTTTTTTAAAAAAAATGTTCAAATTTTTTTTCTAAAACAAAATTTAAAAAATATACAAATTTTTTGTCTGTATCTCGTGCTATTAAATACGTATTTACCCTTCACGAACCTCCCTACGCTGTTATCATCAGTAGAACAACAACAACAGTGCCCTCCTGTGTCTAAATGAGGAAAGATAAGATTTCAACTTCTGTGTCATTTGGTTTGCAGAAATAAAACTGCACATTTTTGGATGTTTTCTGTTGTGTACTTGTGTGTGTGTGTGTGTGTGAGACTCACGTGCATCGTGTCGTTTCCCATCAGATTCCCCACCATGTCCGATAGAAAAGCCGTTTTAACACAAATTCCAGAATGCTGTTTCAGAATATCCATCCACCGATCTTAGCCAAAAGGTTGCTGTCGTTCCTGTGGACAGCACTGATAGACGGCTAAAATTGCTGCAACAATAATTAATCAATGACAATAATTCACTTTCACTTTTTATACTAATAATGTTCTGAAAAAGTCTTAAAAAATAAAATTACTTAAAAAATGAATAAAAATAGACTGATTTGCCTAAGAGACTAGTTTGAAGAATCTTTGATCACAGTGACATACTAATAATTCTACAAAAAATGTGCTGACTTTGTTAAAAAAAATCAAACAACCAATCAGAAATGATTGAATTGCTGATTTTTAATCAATTAAAGCAGTAACATTCCTTTAATTATTCAAGTTACTTTTTAATATAAAAAAACATACAATATGTTACAACAACAACCCCTGGTGGGATAGATGCTTTCACAGTAAATGTCACATCAGCTCAATAATACTTCAAACCATGGAAAGGAATGTTTGGGCCAATGAAGCATTGACTTTTTTTTATCAAAAAAAAAAGAAAGAAAGAAAGTAAAAAAGTTGTGATCAGTCCAGAAGCAGTGACACCAGGTACACGTGATAAAACACCCGGGCGTAGTGTAGTTGTACAGTTAAACTTACACAATACATACATGACAGTGTGAAACTGAAGACCTGAAAGTAACAGAAGCAGATGTACAGCTCATAAAGCAGCAGTAGCAGCAGATTAAATATAGACACAATTAACTCATAAGAGAGATTTTAAAAAAAGTGTATTAAAAAATTAAACATCTAAATGCATCATAAAAAACCCTAGAAAAAAACAAAACACAGAAGAGAAGTGGAGCAGTGAAATCGTGAAAATGTGTAAACATAAACATCCTCAGGCATTTTTTTTTCCAAAAGTGCATTTGGTGAATTCAATAAAAATCATCATTAAAAGTAAATTATGAACAATTATCTGTCAACAGCGGGGGGGATAATATATTAAAGCTTTCTTTTTAGTTTCATACTAGACTCATTTATAAGGAAATGTGCAACAATGTATTGAACTAGTTTCAATTTACTAGGTGGACATTTACGCTGTCTTTGTTCAATATTGGGTCATTTCTAATACTTGGAATAACACGTACAACTATATAGATTGAATACTTGGCTAGGGTAGTGTTTCTTGCATATACTGCAAATACCTTTTGGCAGGAATATAAGAATGCTGAGTCATAAATGTCAGTGTTTAGCTCAGCATTAACAAGGTTTGTTCTGTCTAAGACAGCATCCCTTCCACCGACAGTTTAGAATAGACACAGGCAGCTGGTTGCGTAAGTCAGGCCCCAAAAGTTGACTAGAAGTAACTGTCGGTTTCTAAATGAATTATTTAGCCATAATGGTTCATGTTGACAACAAGAAAGCTATTTATTCATCAATTAACAATAATTAATTAATGAACACATTAGTAAATGATCTCAGTGGTTAATTCAAGTTCTTACCTGGTAACGCCTGTTGATGATTTGGTAAATTACAATCACTGTTGGGAGGCAACACGGTAGAAGACCTGGGGGTATGTAACAGATTGACTCCACTGTCTAGAACAAGCAAGATCTGGTTAATGGGGTGTTAGAGTGAGTAGTTAACTACTGTACGTGTGGCCTAGCTCGGCTCTGAGGACTGCTGGGATTGACTCCCGCCCTCCTCACCCCCCCACCCCCTTCATCTCCACCAACCTGATTAGATAACAGTACAATAATGAATCGTTTTGGAAGGAAAGTAAAAAATGTTGTTCTAATTCCATGCCAAATATATTAAATATATATTCACATGTTTTCTAACTTCAAATGTGTGCATCTTACTTTAATGCAGTGATTCCCAAACTGTAGCTTGAACTATTGTTACCCCTCTTCCCCACACACTCAAACCCATGTCAATACATTCACAGATTTTGCCTCAAATCCTCATTGAAAGCTTTAGATTCTTTTTTTAAATTATTATTTTCTTTTTTATCCCCCCTCTGTGGTACCTTCAAAGAGAATATTGAAGTTAGGATTAATTTGCCTTGCCATGTAATTAGACTTGCCCACAAAAGATTGCTGCCCAGTACGAGAAGAAGAAGCCTGCCCCCGCACACACACTTTGGAAACCTTTCCCGTGTGAGTGCCTTCTGAAATTAGACACTTGGACGTGGACATTTTTTGCATGTCTCACCAACAAAAGAAAGTTTTTTTTTGCAGTAGATACTGTTGCATGTCTCACCAACAAAAGAAAGTTTGTTTTTTTTAAAAAACATTCTGCAGTAGATACTGAAGTGTGTGCTCATCAGAAGCTGCCACATAGATTTGTCGTGGGTTTTTTGCTGTCAAACAACAACATGTTAAAAGAGTGTGGAGGAGGAGGAGGAAATTGGTTGTCTGTCCGTGGTTCATAATGTCAGCACTCAGAGCATGTTGCATACAGACATGTCACATTTTGCTACATTCGGTTTACACTGCAGCAGCTTTTGTGGCTTCTCTTTGCAACCACAGTCTGGTGGTTAAGTTTATTTCCTACATACGGTCGACGGTTTCCTACCCATCAGGCCGTACTCTTTAACGTATGATGCTGTTAGTCCTAATGCGCCAAAGTAATTCTGTAATGGAGTTGCTTGTCTACAAATATGGGCAAAAACACTGAGTATTAACGCTACAGTTTAGCTTCATGTCAGAGTATGAACTATACAGTACAAGAGCCATGCATTCATTAAGGATTGTGTTTCAAATAAGCAGAATCAGAGAGAGACAGAGAGAGACAGAGAGAGACAGACAGACAGACAGAGAGACAGAGAGAGAGAGAGAGAGAGAAAGAGAGAGAGAGATGTGCGTAAGAAGCGAACATTCTTCATGAAACACAAACATGGAGCGGCCTTTGAGAGTTGACTTGTATCAGTCTGTAACACTTATGAGTTTGAAAATTAAAAAATAAACAAAGGCTGAAGTCCCCCCACCCCAACCCCCTGATGTCCACTAACACCTCAGATGTTTCTTGCTGGACATGTCATTCCAAATGCGGTGCATCTCCTCCGGCGAGATCTGGTGAACGGTGATAACACGTCTGTACCTGCACAGGCTGTAGGCCATTTTCCAGTGATTAAAACCACTGTTCTGATAAGGGTGTATACCCAGCTTTCGCAAACACAGCCCCACATAGACGTCCTCCAGGTGCAACAGTCTCGTGTGCAACGAAGTCTTGAAGATAAGTTCAGCCACATCTGCTGAGAACACGTATCCGGTGCCCGAACAGAAAGGCGGATACTTGTTGTCAGGGTACAAGTCTCTGGACATGTACCACTTGCTGCGCATGTCTCTGATGGGACTTCCGTTTATTACGTAGCCGGTAAAATATCGTCTCCTCGGTTTGGTGGTGGGCTTCAGGAGCTTATAGATAAGGTTGTCCATGTTGACAAAAATGTCACTGTCAGTTTTCATCACATACTGCGCTTTAGGGCAGAAGGTTGCCACCCAGCGCATGCCCATCATGGTCTTGAGGGTGAGGTTGTGGTAGGAATCAATGAAGTTCTCCACCACAATGTCATGAAATATCTGACTCTCTTGCTCCACCATCTGGTTCAGTACCGAGTCTGTGTTCCATCCCAGCAGGAAGATGGTGAGGATGCGGATATCAGTGAAGCTGCTCTCGTCCCCCCAGGTTTCTCTGATGGCTTGCCGTGCATCAAACTCCTTGTGGGTGCTGCTGATGAGTATAACCAAGAAGGGCGTGATACTCTCGCACTTTTTGGACTCGTTTATGACAAATTCATAGGTGTGCGGGTTGAGGGAGCGAGTGCGGATGTTGGTAAAGGTGATGTTTTTGTGAGCCTTTGCTGACTTCCGTGTAGACAGCGATATTTGGCCAACCTCGGTGGACGTTGGACGAGATATACTCAAGTACCAGAGAGCGCTCGCCCAGCAGACCACTGTCAGCAGGTATAGACATGACACCTTTGAAGGCATTATGCTGCATTGAGGAGTATTGTGACCAGCTGGATCTCATATGGTTTTGTTTCCATTAGAAACGCTTCACTCACCAAGGCAGCGCTAAGCTGCGCCGACGTGGCGTTTGTCATCAATATGAGCAATAGATCACTGGAGAGAGAAGGTATGTAGCTGCTGTTTCAGAGTTGTCACAGCGAAGGAACAGATGGTTGTCCAGTTTCTCTTAATGGCACGACAAGTTATTTGTCTACATCTGAAAGAAAAAGAAGAAGTACTATAAGTATGAAAGTAAAATTCCCTCTGTCAGGTGTCAAATATTGTCTTTAATAAACGAAAAAAAATTATTACAGAATATTAATTGCCATTCACCTGTTTGTTACAATTCTGTACAAACCATTATCACCCAAAATGGAACATGGAATTATAATTAAAAAAACAATAAAAGTCAACATTTCACAAGTGGGTCAAAATTACCCCAAAGGTAACACAAAGGGTCCAGATTGGGGAGCCAAGCACGAATAACAAAGCAAACGAACTCCTCTTTTAGAGCCACGTCCGCCAAATGTCAAATGAAGAAAAACCACATCATTATTACACTTAGCAGCACAACAATCAAACCTTGAGCAGACAAACCCACAGCGGAGGACAGCGACAGACTATCGAACATATCATGATGGTGTCTGAATGAAGAGCCATCATACCAGCTGTAAAACTAATGTGTTTACTCTGAGGGAATCGAACTTTAGGAGGAAAGGAATGGAAGGATCAATACCTAATAAATTTCATCACACATACCAGAAAGACTGTGGTGCCATCAGCCGTCAGGCACAAGTGACTCACTGCCAGACGTAGTTCTATTATTCATTGCAGAGCTTTAGTTATTATTCATTGGCAACACATTGAGATGTGAGGATTGTCTGCATACTGTTTCATCTCTTTGTGGTTTTGCCATAGAGTGAATGCACGCTCCTTTATGACAATAAATTAAATTGATATGTTTTCTTCATATTCTTTGCATGTATTATTCCAATAATATAATGACACCATGCACCAGAGTGACATCCTGATTATGTACGACTGCTTTTTATTATTATCAGTGTTGTTCGTTAGCCGAAGAATCAAGATTCAACTTTCAAGGCAAATGCCCTCAGGGGTTCCCAACCTCTGGGCCAGGAACCAGTACTGGATCATGCCTCATTTGGGAGATTTGTATTTTTCACTCGTTAGTCACACACCATATGAAAGTGCATTATATAAAATAATAATTATATTTACCTTCTATTTGTATTAATTAAATGATAAATGATGCATCATATTGTGTTGTTTTTATGTATAAATCAGAAAGAGGTACCGCAAAACTTTTACAGAATACAGTGTAAAAATTAAACTTCTTTTTACTCACGCACAAATACCTAAACAACCGAAATCCAGGTGTTTTGGACTTCTCTGACTTTTTGACCCTCATGCCTCGCCTTGCCATTTTGTACCTCGGCCTTGTGCCTACTGCCCCCTACTGTTACCACCCCTATGTGATCTACCGACCAGGGTTTCAAGAATACATTTCTTTGTAGGTTTCCTCATCTCCTCTGTTATAAAAGACTTCAATCCCAGCTGAGTCTAAGGTTTGAGTCCCTGAGCCACACATGCTGCTCCAACAACACTATTAAAGTCCCTGGTCCCACACTTAAAATAGACGGAAAGAAAAAGACAGTGTGTTCTGTGTCCAGGTGAGTCCGGGTTTACATGTCTCTGTTTCTGTCATAGTTGCAAACACTCTATATTCATTTTATCACATGCCTCCTTCCCTCCTTTGGTTTTATAAAATCCTCATTTGTTTACCGTCTGCATCCGAGTGGACTGCTGATAGTAGAAATAATATTTTGCCTGCGTCAGTCCTGCGAGATCCAACAGTGACTTATAAAAGAGAAAAAAAGTTTGATACCATGGAAAACAAACTTGTGTGTTTCGCCCAAAAGGACTCTAGGGAAAATACTTATTATAAAGTAAACTGATAAGTTTCCAAACAAAATCTGTCTGAATCTGTCAAACAAACAAATATTTGTGTTGTTGCCACGTATAGGATAACAAATACTCTTTATATTTTGCAGCCAAAACATACAGATTTGATTTTGTCTGACTTCAATCTAACCATGTATCTTTGTTGATAACACAGCGGCGACCGCAGGTAATGGCACTCACTTCTTAAATGGAGCTCCTGTCATTGTGACTGAATTTGTCTGCTCTAAGTGGTTGGTACGACTGCCCGGGCACCCCAGCTTTGAAGATAGAAATGTAGATATTTTAGTCCATAAAAGTCATTCCTCTTTGAAATGCATCATCTGATCTGTCTCTCTAAGATGAGAGAAAAAAAGTCACAGAGAGCTTCAAAGGCACTGGATACATGATCTGCATGTTAACATACACCGTAGGTGCTCAGCCACTGGCACTAGAGCACTGCCAAAATGTCAGGCACAGGCTGCAGAATGACTGTTCAGAAGGTAGACGTGCCAAATATCTGTCAGCTCAGGAGCAGGCAGACGCTGCAGCAGTGCAGCACTGAGCAAATCAAGGGAAAAGAGTCGCCACCTCTGGGGAGAAGAATAGCACAACACGGCGTTCACTGTGTGTCACCACATGCTACCGTCAACACATATTTGAAAAGCTGTAGCAACGAGTTACTTAGTCAACGATGTCACGACGAGTGTGGAGCTAAACAAAAGCATTGTTGGCTGAGTTTGACCAGCTTTAACAATAAAATATTTATGTTCATCATCAGCGTAAGTGTTCATCTTCTTCTTCTTCTTCTTCTTGAAGCAACAAAGTGAGAGACGTCTCTTAGAGTTCCTGACTGACTGGAGCCTTAATTTCATGCTAACTAAATCCCTTGTCTTCTGCAGTTCAATAACCATGAACACAATATTTCTTTAGACACAAAAAAAGAGAAAACGTTGTGGGCACTATTATCACATGACCTTAGCCCTTGCTCCTTGTGGGTGGGTGTTTGTAAACCTACAACAGCTCTGGAAGGTCATAGGGTCACTATTACATAAAATACTTACAGTTACTCTAAAGAAAAACAAAGACATTGTAGTAGATATGTGTAAAAAGTGATTTAAAAATAGTTCCTTTTTTTAATATAGTAAATGTAATTAATTAGGGTTAGAGCTTCCAAAATAATAGGACTGACTGTAAACATGGTAAATGGTGACAAACAGACATCACAGAGGAATTGATGGGTTGTTGAGAACAAACTGTGTGCAACAGTCTGGTCTAAGCATACCTGAAATAATTGTTTTCCCTCTGAGTCACTGAGCAAAATGTCACTAAATGTCAAACACTTCACACTCTACTTTTTTTTAGCCAGCCTGATCATGATTCAAGTGCTTTAGGAAGAATTTAAAAAAAGAAAAACTGACAAAAAATACCATGCAGGAATGGTACACTTCAGTTTCCCACAGTGTCATGTAATTCTACATGTAACTCTACCTTTGGGCCTAAGCAGTATTTACATACAAGCTCCTATGGATACTATTTTTTCCTCTGAGAGCAAAAATACACAGCACCTCTCCTCCTTCCACAAGGTAGAGGAGAAACTGGACTGTAAAGTAAACTTCTCCAGTTACAAACTCATTAATCAAGGCCCTGAAAGCTACTGTACACATTTGTTATTTATCCACAAACTTCCTGAAGCTTAAAAAACGACTCCTGACTGATCGAATTAAGACAAACGGCTCCAAACCCAGGCGGTGGTGTCTGGAAACACTGACAAGTCTCTGATGTATTTTGCCATGTTGATGATGAATTTGCAATATCCAAGCCATCTGTCAGAAGGCTATCAACACAAACATGTGCTTAATTAGACCTCACTTTGTTCAACATTCATTTCATTTTTACTCTGGATGTTTACAAGTGTGGGAGCACAGATGTGGCCGCTGGCATTCAAATGACTTTGGACTGTAGCAGACCTTTGCAGAGCCATTATTCCAATCACTTGCCATCACAGTGGATGTCACACAGAGAGCCCGACATAAAAATCCACCGAAAACAGACCAGGCTGGCGAATGGCGGCTGGCGAATAGAAAAGCAAAGCATAAAAGTGCTACATGCTATCATGGCCATAAAGGCTGCACCTTCAGCACGTGACGCCCTCCGCAGAGGGACAACGGAGAGGCGAAACAAACGGGGGAAATAATTATCCCATACTCCCAACAGAGAACCAATTTATCATGATTTATTACAAAGTGAGTGGTAGACTTGCACAGGGAGCAGAGCAGAAAGACAGCCATTCATCAAGAGATGACATTTCTTTCTCTGAGCCTCTGGCTCGCTCTTTGGTGGACAGCGTTCTAAAAAGGGCTAATACGCTCCCCACTGCACGCCAAAAGAAATGTTTTGATTCATGGCTCGACGACCGCCCATTGACGGCTCTCTGAGCTGTTTTCGCAACAACCACATATCTCAACTAATAGATCGCCAGATTAAATTAACTGTTTGAGCCCACCATTGCTTGTCAAGGTCCGAATTCAAAACAGATTACTTTTGCTTTCATTTGATTCAACACTGTTACTTTGATCCGTTCAGCCACTGCTCGCACGACAGAGCTGTAAACCAGAGGGAGGGGAAATTTAGCCTTGAACATTTATATTTGGTCCGGCTGCATGAAGATACAAAACTGATAGGTGTCAGTGTGGGATTTATAAGATGTAAGAACATGCATGATTATATGAGATTATAAGAGATTAAATTTCAGCTCATGTTGACATAGGTCCTCAGGTTTTCACAGAGTTTAGATCAGAAAACAACATGTTGGAGCAAAAACAAACAAACCAAAATTGGAGGAAAAAATTTAAAAAAAAAAAAACTAGTATTCATAAAAATAAAAAAACAGCAAATTATTCAAGATTTGTATATGTACATTGTTTTCGATATTTACACAGAAATAAATGCTGTCATCTGGATTATAACTCTACACATTGTTAAGATGTTGCACATATTATATAGAATAAATATAAATAAAATGAATAGTATGATCTAGTATTATAATTATTACTGATTATTAATAATATTTATTAAATACAAAAGAGACATTTTTACTAATATTTATTAGAATTAGTACTATTTTTAATGGCTCGAAAAATGTAAGAGTGAAAAAAGTCCTGGTTGGAAAGAGATTTTATGAACATACTTAAAAATGTAAGATATGAAAATGGAAGCCCAGTCAGTGATAAAGACTTCAGCGCTGCGTGACTTGAA